GAATGCACTGGCAAATGCACTCCATGCACACAGAAACACACAGAGGAAAAAAGATATTTCCAGTGGTCAGCTCTCCAAACCCACCACAGGATTTGGGAAGATAAGTTATGCTTTTCTCCAAGGGAGACACTGTTCTTATCAGTAACAAGGAATTTACAAGCCGAGTCCTATGTCCATAGTCCTTTTATGTCCTATCTAGAGCCCACAGCACTGAGGAACCTCTGTGGTCCTTGGTGTACACCAAAAATTTGTCCACAGACTCTGTCTTAAGTTTACAGCAGCCTCCGCAGGGCTGATCTCATAATAGTGGTAGCTGGAGAAGTAGAACAATGTCTATACGGCTGCCCACGCACGCTGTGTCACCAGACCCAAGTGGGACATCCACAAAAAGGCGTGCCAGAAAGTTGGAAAGGATTTTGCCCCTTCAAGCCTGAACATTTTGCTCAGCCACACTTCAAGTCATCCTAAAAGCTTCTTGAGGCTTTTCCAAAAAAACCCTTTTTGCTATGCAGCAACGAAGCAGAAGAGTACCTCTGGCTGTGCTTTTCTCTCCATCAGGACACGCTAGCTGGTGGAAACCAGTAGGGGCGATTCCTACAGGAAAGCTGATTTCAGTCCCCAGGAGCTTAGACCTAATGTCCATCATAGATACATCCCGCAGCATACGTGGCCGGAAATGAATTCTGTAAGGCAATAAAAACCCCTCGGGATGGTGGCTGTCCAGTGGCTTGCCTGAAGTTTCATGGAAAGCAGGTCTTTACCTATTGCAATGCAGGAATCTGAGCCAATAAAGAAAGCAGCATATGACAAAGGCTCTTTGTCCTTTCTGTTCACTTTTAGAGGTCAATTCAGCCAGCAGTTCAGCCACTTGCACTTTTCATTCATCCCATACTCCTGCTCACTGGCCACAGTACATCATTTCTGCATTTCCCACTTCAGCTCTCCAGCTCTTCTCCTCCCACTGTCCGTCCCACAGATTCCTTCTACTTGCAGCCCAGTCCCAGGTCTCTGCCTTCCACTCCACCATTCACTGTATATTGTGCCTACCCTCACTCTCTGCAGCATGTTCCCCAAATCCCATGCTACTTACATGTAGGCTTCCTACTGTTGACCACGTGGTCCCCGTTGTATCTCATTCTATTATAGCCACTGATCCCCTTTCCTGTCTTGTCATACCATACCAACCATACCATACCATACCATTCTATACTATACCCTACCTTTTGCCTGGATCCTCAGCATCTTTTATGCTTCATACAATCTATGTCATACTCAGACTAGCATCAGAGCATACAATGTATGTCATTTGGGTAAGTGCATTTTGCTTGGGCACCACTTTGAAAGGGCAAGGTGTAAGGAATCTTGGCTTGTGAAGTCCAAACACTTGCACAAAAACTTAGTTTAAAAGCTTCCAGTACAACACCCCTCATTTCCTCCTCACATTACCTTTTATATGCCAGGATGTTTTCATCTCGGGTGCTACAGTCATCTGCTCCAGCTGCAAAAAAATCCCAAGCAATCTTGGGTAAATACTTTTTAGCATAAGCTTCGAAGTCTGAAAGACACACCATAGCCATTGCTGAGAGAGGCTCTGGGAACCCTGAAGAAAAGAATAACATGGAATGGAAATTAGATCCCTGAACTGTCATTCTCTCTTCCAGGGACTCTAATGTCCCTTAATGCAAACCTTGGACCCATCTGTCTTGTAGAAGAGTTGCTGAGAGGTTGTCTCAGTCTATATTGCCATTCATCCTCTCCTCTAGTATGAGGAAAATTTGCAGATACAGCCGTAAGAGTAGGAAGAAGCCTTCACCTCTGCGCCTCTCCTTATTCTGTCTTAACAAACAGAAACCGAAAGAGAACATTTTTGGTCCTCTGCTATTTTAAGACACAGCAGTCGTGTAATTCTGTCATAAATTCCATCTTAAAACTAGCTGGGTTATTTGTTCCACTAATTCTCCTCCAAGGTTGGACCAAAACATCATTTGCTGGATTGCCCCTTAGGACGTCTCCCTGACTGAACAATTAGTAATGGAGTGCAGTGACTAAATTCAAGCTCATAAAATCTGGAAGCAAGTAAATATGGAGTCTACATCTAACCTGCTCTAGCATGAATGCATTGCAAAACTATGTCCAGACTCGGAGTGCAAGTCACTATCAAGGCTAGGGCTGCAGAAAACCAAATAATTTTCTACAGATCTTCATTTCTCTTTTGTAACAAATATCTTCTGGGTGTTTGCATTACATACCGCAGCACTGATACATGCTAAAAAAGGAGCATACAAAATTTGGACAAATTCTGAGAAAACACTTGCAAAAAACAAATTCCACAACATGAAGCACGATTCTAGGAACTACCCTCAGTCTTTCAGGGAACAGAAGTGACGCTGTGTGACCCAGATGTCTAATCAAACCAACATAAATGCTGCCTAGCAAATGCCTGCCACTTGCATGCTTTTGAACCAGCCAGGACTAAAAGCTATGCAAATTAATGTTTTAGCAAACCATGCCCGTGTGCGAGGAAACATGTACAAAACACAGACAAAACCAATTTGCTAAATCGTTTGTTGCGATTACTTCCGCATCTGTGATTAAAATAGGCGTTTTGCAAGGTATATGGAAACATGAAGTTTTAAACCAGCTGTGGCTTGGGTCTAGTTTTTCTAAAAATGTACAGGAAGAAGTAAATATTCTAGTTTTCAGGATTAGCCTCCCACCGCAGATTAGCGGGGACCGCAAGCTTCACCAAAAACAGTCCCACGTGCCCGATGTTGCACGCTTCTGGCACAGGTACGTATGTAGGTTACGTACACAGATCCAACCTGTCAAACTGCAGACATGGATACGTCTCACTGACTGAGGTGCCTACATATACACTTGAAAATCAGGAGCCATAATTCTCCATTAGCAATGAGCCAAAGATCAGGGGCTTACTGGAAGATGAAGAAGAAGTGCGACTGATTTCTTCAGTTCTGCTTTGTCTCCTCTGACATACATTAGCCAGCAGGTGGTAAAAGTATCCCAAGCCCTCTCTGTATGCCTTGAAGTCATCAAGCATTGCTGATAGCACCAGTCTTCATATGTCATACATCACAATATAGAGAAAACCACGTATCATGACTTCCACTTTTCCAACTGTTAGAAAGGTCAAAGCCAGCAAGCACAAAAAGATAAACTGTGTCCTCTCATGGCAAAATAAATGGGAATTTTAAACAACGCAGTCCCAAGTCCTCATTGTCTCCCAATTCATACCTCAGTTCAGACTTACTTTGGGTTTCAGGCAGAGCTGCAGGAGGTGAGATTCTCCTTCAAGTTTACCTGCAAACAGGATGTGGAGGAGGTCTTTTCACTGAGTAGCTGCTGTTTTTTCTGCAGTCAATAAGCAACTACCAGAGATTAAAGCTCAGTCCTGCAGTAAACTTTGTACTGTTTGTATAAGACTAACTTTGTTTTGCTATCAGATGATTAAAAGTTCCATCCAAAACCACACATCACCTTGTCAGCAATGTGATTGCTTGGGACACAGCACTGGAGCTGTGCTCTTCATTGTTGGCAACTTGCTTCTGAATGTGCTGCAAATCCCACCAAAATCAGGATCCACAGACAGTATGAGCTGTTAAAGCCCACAGCTACAGACCCTTGAATCTTTACTGCCATGTTGGAAGAGACATTTTTCGCTTCCTAAGGTACATGAACAAGTAAAGTACCGTTTGTCTGCTGACATTTTTAAAGGGCTATGAGTGCTGTCATGATCTGGTTGCTCTCCCACTGGGCTTGCAGATTCCCTCCTTTGGCTTCCCCACCCAGCCATCTCCCAGGAGGACCATCAGTCCTCTCCCTTTCCTGTGCTTGGAACTGGTGAGATTTCTCTGCGCTTCCCTCCGTCTCCTCTGCTAAGAATTACAAACTGGGACTCAGGTGACAACAGATTTATGATATTGACTTAAATTTGCAAGATATGAAAAGTAAACACTGGATTATTTTATTTGTCTTTTGGTTTTTTCAAGCCTTTAGGGATCAGGTTTTCAATTTTTCCATGCAAGCATGACAGCTTGAAACTTTGATTTTTACTAACTGAAAATTGAGATTGTTTTCTCATAAACATGTGATGCCAGGTGCAAAGAGTGGGGCAGAAACTTGTGAAAACATTCCCAAAATTTTACTAGTATTGTTGCCCTCCCAGCCCAAGCAGCCCAGCTGGGGCAGTGCATGAGCCAAAGGACTGGGAAAGAGCTGGAAGCTGAACAAAGCTGCAACCTTGGGACCTGGTGTCGAGGAGACAGGTCTGATCCAGGACTGTGGATCTGACAGTCCTGATCGCAGAAATCCTAGGTTGCTTTTTGCAGCTGTAGTGAACATGTTTTCTTCTGTGAGATGTATTCGCGAGACCCTGACCACACTGTACCAGGCATGATCACCTACACCACCGTCTTTTGAAGCTTTTTTTAAATTCAGCCTTCAGAGCTCATTGTCTGCCGACGGCACTGTGAAGCCAGCTTCTGGCATCGGCTATGGGTACACGTGTCACGAACAGGACAAGGTGTGCATGCGTAGCTGGCGTGCCCATGGCCTCCTTGGTTGACTTTCCTGCCCAGGACAGCCCGTGCAGCAGACAGCCTTCAGGTCACTTCTGAAGAGAAGAGCAAAGTGCCATCTCTATCTGCACACAACGGAGTGCATCCCTGGGCCGGGAAGGAAAATCCTGAGCTCATTCTCCCTCCGCTAGATGTCAGCTTTGGGTCATGTATATCAATCTATGTTGGTAATAACAACCAAAAAAAAAAAAAAAAAATATTCAGTCCTTGATGGCCTGCCAGGCACTATGGCCTTAAAACTGATATGATCACATCACAAGAGTGCCTCCTAATATATTTGGAAATCTTCATTCCCTGTGTTTTATTCTTAACATTTTCTGGTGCACAGCACAGCAATAAATGTAGCTACATCTGGTCTGGCCTGATCTTTGTTTCAGCCTACGAGTTATCTTCACAGTCCTCTGTCATACTTCTCATTATGCTGATCTCAGTACACCCCTACTTTAGGGGTGCACGTTGCAGCCAACTGACCAAACCATAAAGTTTATGGTTTCATGGTTATCATAATTTTACATGAATTAAAAATAGTCTGTGAATACTGCATTTTGGATCAGGTAGGGGGAAAAATCTCTGGTTTTGTGCTGTGGCTTTTAAGAGACTGTACTTTGCATCTAGATGTATTGTCTTCCTTCAGCAATGGACTCAATTCAAAGTAGCAATGACTTCTTGTCCCATAAGTAGTATTTTCTCTGATACTAGTTAGACATCTGATTTAGCTGTGAAGCTCTAAAGTTCTAAGAAAATCAAAATCTGCCACAGAGATAATGCCTCTTACTACCGCCCCTGCTCTATACTTGAAAAAGGTGGGCAGGTTTTAAAGTTCTGGAGCTCTTCCACTGGAGTACAATAAAAGACTTGAAAAGGCTCTCTAAAAACTTTGCAGGAAACCTTGCTGCCTTCTTTTGAGAAGTGAAGAAACTAATATAGGAAATACTCACACATCTGGTCCAGCTTTGCAGGTAGAGCGTCAAGCAGTCAACGGCCAAAGCTTTGGTTTTGCACATATCTGCACAGCTGGGGTTTTGCAGTTGCTTGCTTTTCAATACTAACATAGCTGAAGGCTCGTGAGTCCAAACACAAAGATCCTGTGTAAATCTGTGCTCCAGTTCCTATTACAATCACGATGCTCATTACTCCAGTTGGTTCTGTTTGTTTGCTTTTCACAGATGGCAAATCGCCATGGGTCAAGCTGACATCCATCTCACTGATGCGTCCACTAGTGGTGGGTTCAGTCTGGGACTTTACAACACTTCGGTGAAGAATCTGGTGAACTCTAAGCAATGTGAATAACTCAGATCACGTAACAGTTTGCATACAGTCACCACTGGTTTTCCTTATCAGATGTCTTTCTTGGGCATGTGCCCCATGTTTGGAAGGAAAACTCTTTTTCCTTGCTTGTCAGTCATGCAAGAAAGTTTTCCCCAAATTAAATATTTATATAGCCATCCCTCTATTATACGTGGAGATGGCAACAAATCTTACATTTAACATTGCCTAACACTTTCAATTATAAGATCCAGTTTTCAGTTGCTTTTAATTTTGTCATATTTTAATCACTCTAGGCTGAAATTTTCCATCCTTGGTCTCTGTGTTGGGCTGAATTTTTCTGGGAACGTTTCATTGAAAGCCAGTCAGCAACTTCCAAGAATGAGGTTAGTGAAAAATATGGTGGTTGGCCCATGCTGAAAATGTCTTATAGTGGTTTCACTGCAGTCCAGTGCTTCATGCAGGGGCTTGAAATTAGCAGGGGCTGATCCCCAGGGGCATCAGCCTGTACTTGCTGGCCATATGAAAATCCAGACAGATCTGACCTAGCTGTAAATCACTGCTCTGTGCTTGCAGATGCTCAGCAGAGCTTGTCTGAAATCCAGATGTTACCTTTACTGAAGACTTGCCTAGCGCAGAGCATGCTTCTGCCCATGGCCAGAGGAACTCAGAAAGCCTCAAATAGGAGCAGAGGGCGGAGAGCTGGTCACCCCCCA